TTTGTTTCTTGCTGCAACCAGTGCGGAGTAGAGGTTCCTGAGTGGGGTCGACGGGAGATGAGGAAAAGACACAACGCAGACAGTTTAAGGAAAAGCGGGGGCCAGATGGGACATTGTCCTCTGATGGAGAGGCCATGAGCCCTGGACATGGGCTCCGCGTTTGTTTTATGGGGCTGGTGAGATGCAGCTCACGGACGTTTGGCAAACTTGGGGAGATGCTGCGGGCACGGACCGTTCCCTTCCTAGGCTGTCTGACTGATACATGTGTCTGCTGCACAAGTTACAGCCTCGTTCAGCTGAAGCTTGAGGTTATCTGTCTCCTGTGTCACCCCCGTGGGGTCCGGCTGTTGTTGCTCTGGCTTGGTGCACTTGTTCAAAGCCCACTGAACAAGGGCAGCTTTGTTCAGCACTCAGCCTTGCCTATGACACCAGCCTTCACCTTCCCCCACAGTTGCTCACTCTGAATTCTCCTTGTGTAGCTGTTTGTGAACCAACTGCGAGCCTGCTGGGTCTTAGGTGCATCCCCTCCTGACAGGAGGTCCGGCTCGCCTCGCTCCTAAGCTGATTGGAAGCCCGGCTCAGCTTCCCAGCATTTCCGCTGCTTTTTGTGGAATCAGAAGACGCCTCCTGAGGACAGCAGGAGAGAGGGCAGATCTCATCTCCTTAAGTTTCCTTCCTTCAGATCCTGGACCTTAATTTTCCCCTGTTTTATTAGCTCCTTGGTGCCCTAGCAACACGCTTCTGTATTTTGCCCATTTCGTTCTTAGGTACCCTCAGTGGGAGTGTTGGGCCTCACGTCTACACCTGGTCTCCCATGACCGGAACTAAAACTCCTCAGGTGATCATGTCTCTCAGGCAGTAAGTGTAAGCAGTTTCACGAAGGCAGGCCCAGTCCCCAGACCCCAGGGCAGGGGCAGGCTCTGACTGTGGGCGCAGTGAGGGCGCAGCCAAGACGGAGCGGCTGATGTCCTTGCTGCAGCTGTGTTGGTCCCCTTTCCACTCACCTGTGTACTTGGGATCTCTGAGCACTGTGTGCTGTGTCCTGCTCCCGAGTGCAGCCCGAGCGCACGGAGAGGAAGACAGGGACACCTGGCGCAGTGTCCGTCTCTGGCTGCTCCTGGGCAGGTCCACTCCCAGGGCCCGGACAGGAGCAGGGGCCCCTGTGTTTCAGCCTCAGGGTATCACAACCAAAGAAACACATTCCGGACTTCCGGCCAAGATGGGAGCGTAGGTGGATACACTGTGCCTCCTTGCACAACCAAAATAAGGACGATGACAATTTAGAAACAAAATAACAACCAGAGCTGACAGAAAATTGAACTGTATGGAAGTCGGACAACCAAGGAGATAAAATAGACACATTCATCCAGACCGGTAGGTGGGGTGGAGTCGGGCAGCCGGGTGGGGTGGAGAGGGGCCAGGGCACAAAAAGTGGTGGCACCGGGCGTGCAAGGCACCCTGGGTGTGCAAGATGCAGCGGAAGGACCCTGGGCGTACAGGTGGCGCCTGGCAAACCCCGGGCACGGGGTGGCAATGGGCAGACCCAGCGAGGTGGCGGTTGTGAAGTGAGGCCCTGCACACGAGGCAGCTGGCTGACTGGGCGGCCCCACACGAGAGAGCAGATAAACCAGGTGAAATTGGAGAGCAAGACAGACCGCCCAGTCCAGGGCCCCAGTGCCTGGAAATAAAGCCTCAAAACACCGATTGAAAATACCTGTGGGGGTTGGGGAGCAGGGAGAGACTCCCAGCCTCACAGGAAAGTTTGCTGTAGAGACCCGCAGGGTCCTAGAACGCACACAAGCCCACCCACATGGGAATCAGCACCAGAAGGGCCCGGTTTGCTTGGGGGAAGCGGTGGAAGGGACTGAAACCCGACAGACAGCGGAGCAACCGCCATTTTTCCTCTTGGACCCCTGCCCCACAACCCAGTCACAACCCAGTGACTGGGTTGCGCCACCCTGGCGAACGCCTAATGCTCTGCCCCTCGCTACTTACAGGTGCGACAAGACAAAAAAAAAAAAAAAAAAAAAGGCCCAAACGGAATAACAGATCAAAGCTCCACAGCAAATACAGCTAAGCAACTAAGATATAGCCAACCTATCAGATTCACAGTTCAAAGCACTGGTGATCAGGATGCTCACAGAATTTGGTTGAATTTGGCCACAAATTAGATGAAAAAATGAAGGCTCCACTAAGTGAAATGAATGAAAATGCACAGGGAACCAACAGTGACGGGAAGGAAACTGGGACTCAAATCCACTCAAATGGAGTGGACCAGGAGGAAGAAAAAAACAACCACACAGAAAAGAATGAAGAAACAAGAATTCAAAAAAATGAGGAGAGGCTTAGGAACCTCCAGGACATCTTTAAACGCTCCAACATCCGAATTATAGGGGTACCAGAAGGGGGAAAGGCACAGCCACCAGTGGAAAACTTATTTGAACAAATAATAAAGGAGAATTTCCCCAATCTGGCAAAGGAAATAGACTTCCAGGAAATCCAGGAAGCTCAGAGGGTCCCAAAGAAGTTGGACCCAAGAAGGAACACACCAAGGCACATCATCATTACATTAGCCAAGATTAAAATGAAGGAGAGAATTCTAGAAGCAGCAAGAGATAAGGGGACAGTCACCTACAAAGGAGTCCCCATCAGACTGTGAGTGGATTTCTCAAAAGAGACCTTACAGGCAAGAAGGGGCTGGAAAGAAGTATTTGAAGTCATGAAAGGCAAGGGCCTACATCCAAGATTGCTCTATCCAGCAAAGCTTTCATTTAGAATGGAAGGGCAGATAAAGTGCTTCTCAGCTCAGGTCAAGTTAAAGAAGTTCACCCTCACCAAGCCCTTATTCTATGAAATGTTAAAGGAATTTATCTAAGAAAAAGAAGTTAAAGAAACATGAACAGTGAAAGGACAACAAACTCACAGTTATTAACAACTACACCTAAAACGAAAGCAAACGAAAAGGACAGCTAGATCAGGAGTGGAAACATAGAAATGAAGATCTCAAGGAGGGTTAGCAACAGGGGAGTGGGAGGAGGAGAAGGGGGGAGAAGGTATAGAAAATAAGTAGCATAGACAGTAGATAGAAAATAGAAGGGGGCAAGAATAGCATGGGAAATATAGAATCTAAAGGACTTAGACACATGGTCATAAAGTAAAGGGGGGGTAATGGTGGGGACGGGGGGGTAGGGTGGAGGGGAATGAAGGGGGTGATAGAACGACTGTAACAGCATAATCAATAAAAAAATTTTTAAAAAGAGAAAAAGAAAAAGAAGATAAAAAACGTGTAAAATGACAGCAAACTCACAGTTATTAACAACCACACCTAAAACAAAACAAAACAAAAAAAACAAACTAAGCAAACAACTAGAACAGGAACAAAACCACTGAGATGCAGATCACAGGGAGGGTTAGCAACAGGGGAGTGGGAGGAGAGGAGGAAGGTACAGAGAACAAGTAGCACAGACGGTAGGTAGAAAATAGACGGGGGAGGTTAAGAATAGTGTGGGAAATGTAGAAGCTAAGGAACTTGTGACACATGGACATGAACTAAAGGGGGGAATGTGGGTGCAAGAGGGTGTACAGGGTGGAGGGGAAGGAAGGGGGGAAATGGGACAACAGTAATGGCATAATCAATAAAATACATTGAAAAAACACAAGAAACACATTCTGTCCCCCCGCCCTCACCCTAACAGCCTCCACTGCCCGGGTTTGCGTATCTGCTGCCTCCACTGGCAATGCCTCGTGACTTCCCTGACCGAAAGGGCCACAGACGCACCCCTTCTCTTCGCAGAGGGCCCTGGCCGCCACTCTGGGCGGTGACAGGCAGCCTGGGTCACACACATTCGTCCCCATCATGGTCCCCAGAGAGGGAGGGGCTGGGATTTGTGTTCTTTTTCCCTTTCTAGTTTTTCTAAGGAACAGTCCTGGTGGAGGTTTTCTAGTGACTAAACACCTGGTGAACATGCCCTGGCCGGGTGGCTCAGTTAGTTGGAGCTTTATCCTCTACACTAGAAAGTTGCAGGTTCAAGTCCCAGTTAGGGGACATACCTGGATTGAGGGCTCAGTCCCTGGTCAGGATGCGTATGGAAGGCAATCTGTGTCTGTCTGTCTGTCTGTCTGTCTGTCTCCCTTCCTCTCTCTGTGAAATCAGTCATATCCTTGGGTGAGGATTTGAAAACAGAACCGGCGAGTGAGGAACGATGGTAGTTTGCTGTTCCAGGAGGGTTGTGAGCGCCGCTCTCTGCCCGGGGAGGGAGGCGTGAGTCCAGCGAGGAGTGTTCGTCTCACTGGGTGTCCCTATTCAGAGCTCCTGGTGGTCACTGCTGGCAAGTGCTGGTCACCTCAGTGCTGCGAGCGGAGGGAGTCACATCAGATATGAGGGTTACTTAGGACGTCGTAGTTAGGAAGTCACCCTCTAAAGCCGAACTGGGTTCAAGCTCGTCTTTGTCCCGGTTTAACTCGGGGTAGCCACTTTTAAGTTCTCACTAAATCTGTTTCCTCACCTATGAAATGGGGAGAAGAACCTTGTAGGTCATTGCAAACTGAAAGAGTTAAAACATGGAAAGAGCCCCGGCTGGTGTAGCTCAGTGGATTGAGTGCGGGCCTGCGAACCACACGATCGCGGTTCAATTCCCAGTCAGGGCACCTGCCTGGGTTGCAGGTCAATTCCCATCAGGGGGCTCACGAGAGGCAACCACACATTGATATTTCTGTTTCTCTCCTTCCCTTCCTCTCTAAAGATAAATAAATAAAATATTAAAAAAAAGAAAAACTTAGAAAGGGTTGAAAACCTGCTCGTCCCTTAGTAAGTACTCAAGAGTTGTTAGCTCTTATTATGGGCTGTGGCTCCTTCAGAGCCTGGGGAGATGGGGCCCCAGTAGGGGGCGTGTGCTCTTGGGTTCTCAGGCTCTGGGGTCCTCACGGGCCCCGTCCTCTTGGCTCAAGGGAAGTCGCTCTGGCCGGACACCAACCCTGCCCTCTGCGTTTCTCTGTCCTAGCTTCCTCTGAATCTCCTGACCCCAAGGTGGTATTATCGGGAGCACGTGTCCAGTTACCGGTCCCTCCCGGCATCCGGACGGGGCAGGACTCCATCAAATGGAAGGTGCAGCTGCGTGCAACGACACAAGTTCACATACTCGCTGGGAAGAGGGTTGCTGATTCAGATCACAAATGTAATCCTCTCAAAAATATGCGCTGTTTCATCATGGTGAACTGGACACTTGTCATTGAGGCAGCTCAGCCGCAGGACAGTGGCATCTACTTGCTGGAGGCCACCAATGAGACGGGAGAAACTAAGAACCACAGATTCAACGTGTCTGTGTTGGGTGAGTGCCTGCCCCTCTGGCTGCGGCGGGGCTGGGTGTGCAGCGCCTTCCTGACCAGGTCTCCGCTTCCAGACCCTGTGGGGACCCCCCGGCTGCGGGTGCAGCAGGAAGCCCTGGACGGAGGGAAGTGCCGAGTGACTCTGTCCTGCTCCGTCTCTGGAGGTGGCCATGCGAGCCACGGTGATGTGAGCTACACCTGGTACCGGGGGAGCGAGCGGATCCTGGGCCCGGGGAACCTGTCCACACTGGAGGAGCAGACCGCCGGCGGCCCACATGCGTACACCTGCAGAGTCAGCAACGATGTCAGCTGGGCCAACCAGACCCTCAGGCTCAGCCAGGGCTGTCTCCAGGGTGAGTGCAGAGCCTGGGGCGGGCACAGGGCTGAGACGGTGGGCCCCTGACTGGGCTCCTGTGCAGGAGAGACAGTGGGGGGGGGGGACAGCCCCCGTGGCTGGCTCCCCGGGGTGCCGGCCTGGAGGCACACGGGTCTCACGGCCAGGCCTGCCTTCATCTGGGAAGCATTTGCGTCCCCGTCAAGACTCTGCTTCGGGAGAAGTGTCTCCTTCACACAGCAAATGCTCGGTTGTCGGGAGTGACGGCCCGGCCCGGCCGCTGCCAGTTTCCTCCTCGAGACGCACAGAGCCCTGCTCCCTCCTGAGTGACACCTTCCCCAAACCGTGTTGTTCCCTGCGAGGGGACTTGCCAGGCGTCCCACAGGAGCACCTGGGTCCCAGCAGCAGCAGGGCATCACCGCGGCACCTGGCAGAGTCCTGGGCTTATCGCCTGTGCCTGTCCTGGAGCTCAGTTTGCGCCAGTTTTTATTAGATGCGTAAGGACTCAGTGTGGCAGCAGCACAGGCGGAAATGACCTGCAGTCCCTGTCTTCAAGGACCTTGCAGCCCAGCAGGGACAAGCAGAAGCTGTGTGGAGACAAGGGCACGTCTGCGGGGCTCGTCAGAATGGCAACAAGCTCTGTGTTCTCAGGCAGAGTCATGAACTTCTATGAGCCTCTGCTTTTCTCTTGGGTAAAGTGGTAATAACACTGCTAATTAAATGAGATACTACTTGTAAAGAGCCCAGCCCGCTGGCGTCTGAAACGTGCAATTCCTCCCGAGTTTGTTGACTGAAGAGGGTTGCACAAGAAGAGCAGGAAGGTGAAAGGAAAGACCTGCTCCAAACGTCTTTTGGGTTAAAAACAAGAGAACGGACCGATGCGACAGTCGCTGTGTTTTGCGTTTGTTAGATCACATGACAGACCCATATGTAGATGACATGACCTCCTCTTCCTCAGTGAAAAGCGGGGGCTCGGAGAGGGAAGCAGGCTGCCGAGGGCTCCGAGCCTGCGGGGCTGGACTCCGAGCCCAGCTCCCAGCGTCGCTCCAGGGAGGGCGTCCCCGGTCCCAGGGAGACCCCAGGATGGCGCGGTCACAGCCGCTGCGGCAGCCAGGCCGGGAGGTGGGGAGGCCTGCGTCCTCACGCCCCTGCCCTCGTGTCCCCCAGAAATCGGCCCCCAGCCCCTGTGGATAATCGTCGTGAGTCTCGGCGCCGCCGTACTGCTGCTGGGCGTGGGCACCCTGACCTGGGTCTGCGTGCGGAGAAGGAGGAGGAAGCGAGCAGGTAGGTGGACGGCCCCTGAGAGACGCTGCCCTGGGGGCAGCGGGGCTGGGAAGCGCAAGCCTGGGTCGGAGGGACAGCGGTGGCTCCCCAACACGCAGCTGCCCCGCAGTGGCCAGTGTGCGGGAGACGGTCGGCCGGCCGCTGCCCCGGAGCCCGCTCGGTCTCCTGGGAAGAGCACTGACCCGCTTCCCTCTGGACCCCTTCTCCGGGCCTGGGTCCGCAGCTCCGCTTCTGTCCTCACACAGAGCCCAGCCCCGAGGGGTCCTTGACGGTTTACGAAGATGTCAACAACCTGCGCACCAGGAGCGGTCACGTACGTCACCTGGACACTGCTCTCGGGAGGATGGCCACGCGAGCAGGGGACCCGGGGAACCCAGCTGCCCTCTCAGAGTGGCCCTGAGCCCCCGTCTCCCTCCCGCTCAGCACCCGAGCTCTGGCTGGGAGGGAGGCGGGGCGAGGAGACCAAAGGAGGGCATCTGGGCGCAGAGACGTGCCCACCCAGCCCCCGGGGGTGCCGGTGCCCTCATGTCCTGACGCTCAGAACAAGAGCCATCCGCTCGTACTTCGTGTCTGACCACAGACTCTCGTGTCCCCGCAAGTCCCATTTCCCTTTGCGGGTCCCTTCGTCTCTGCACAGCCGGGCAGGCGGCAGCCTGACTTGCTGAGGCCCGAGTGTGTTGTCCGGCCCTGGGGACGGGAGGCCTGGGTCTGGCTCAGGGGGTGGAGGGAGTGAGGCCACCGCGCGATGAGCCAGGCCAACGCCTCCGCGGGCAGGGCCTACTCTCTGTCACCCAGAGGTGAAGAAGGGGAGGTACCACAGAGGGCCTGCAGGGCAGGATGTGGGGACAGGCCCAGGGGACAGGCAGAGCCTCACTGAACTGCTTGGTGGGAAGGGAGGGGCAGGAAGGACCCTCCTCCTCCCGCCATTCCTGGGGCTTGGCTGGGCAGCGAGGCAGGAAGTGCGTGTGCGGGGCCTCCTCCCCCGGGGCCTGGGCACGGGGCAGCCCCTGCAGCCTGTGTCTGCACCCCAGCAGTGGAATATCGGGGTGTGAACCTGAAAGCAAGCTGACTCCCTCACCGAGCCAACCCTGGTACCAAACTCGGCAACCAGAAATGCCTCCAGCCCCCGATGCCCAAATGCTCACCAGAAAGCTGCCCATGGAGAGCACCTTAAAGATTTTATTTATTTGTCTTTAGAGAGAGGGGACAGGGAGAGGAACATCAGTGTGTTGTGTGGTTGCCTCTCACACGCCCCCTACTGGGGACCTGGCCTACAACCTCAGCATGTGCCCTGACTGGGAATGGAACCAGCGACCCTTTGGTTCACAGGCCTGCGCTCAGTCCACTGAGCTGCACCAGCTGGGGCCAGTGAAGAGCACTTTAGATTAGAGAAATGAAGAAGAAAACAGGGGAAATAAACTTATAGAGTAAAAAAAAAACCTACTGGGGCTTCAGGCCCATTACTCTGCTTCTGAGCCGGTGATTCAACGCCCCACGGCCCCGTCCCTCCCGGCCTCTCCCTACTGTCTCCCGGGTCCCGCCCGAAGGCTTCAGCTTCAGGCTTTGTGTGATCTCACCTGGGGCCCAGATGTGACCTGTCGGAGACACTTCACGCAGGTCTGGGCAGAAGAGAAAAGCAGTGGAGTCCTGTGTCTTCCCAGATGCGACGCCTCTGTGGCCTCCAAGGGCAGCTGGTGTTTCTCTGCTCCTTCCAGCCGCCCCACCCCCGTGAGATGAGCCCCAGCAGAGCCCACCCTGGCAACTCACACTCGGGGGAGGGAGCACGAGATGCTTCCAGCCCAGCCCGGCAGGACTGAGAGAGGGAGACTCGGCCTCTGGCCTTGGGTCCAAGGCTTCACCCGGCACCGCAGCTGCACAGGAGGCTGGCTGGAGGCCAAGGGCAAGCTGACCACCAAGGCTGGTTCTAGATAGGGGGCTTGAAAATGTCTCAAGCCTCTGATTCCAGAGTCCCGAGGTAAACGCTCGGACCACAGCCCTCCTCGGAGCTCAGGGCCAGGGCGACCACAGCCTTAGCCCAGGGCTGCTTCTGAGTCAGCAAAGTGAAGCTGGTCACTCAGCGCTGCGCCTTCCCGCTGCGGAGGTGCCCGAGACCTGCGCTTCCACATCGGGGGGTTCCTCCTTCCCCCGCCCCCCATGGGGGTGACCCACGGCTGCTCCCTCCTGGAGCTCCTCTTCGCGCGGTCTCTCCCCACTGGACCCGGACCCTCAAGCCTGAGCCCCCCACCCAACGGTACCAGGTGTTCCTTTTCGGTTCCTCCCTCAGGAGCAGCGGCAGGAGGAGCGGGACTCCCCCATGGCCGGGACCACCATCTACTCCATGATCCTGGCCCAGGTACACCCACTTCCCTCTTCCAGGCTCCACCTGTCTATGGGGCTTTCTCTTGTGCTCCCCCCACTTCCCCGAACAAAAGGAAACCTCACACCCTTGAACGGCAGGGTAAGACCGTGGTCCTCCCGTAGCGCAGAAGGTGGCTGGCTGACTGTCGGGTGGTCTGGGGTCTCTGCAGCGGAGCGGAGCTGGGAGGCGGATGCAGGAAGGTCCCCTTGCTGGGGCCAGGGGTTGTGGCCCTGGGGGAGCTTTTGGCGGTGGAGGAAGCCGGCTGGGAACTCAGCCTCTTTCCCCTCCCTGCTGCTTCTGAACTGAGGCCCCTGCACTTTCCGCCTGCTCTTGTTCTGCCTGTTCTCAGGGGAGAGGAGGTCTGTGTGGTTCTCTCTTACCTTCTATGACGTCTCGACTTAACAAGAACATGTATGAAGTGCGATGTCCGTTTTTGCAACAAATCTTCTCTAACAGCCTCGTGAAGTAGTAGGTGTTATGCAAACCTCATTCCACAGATGAGGAAACACTCCAAGGGTAACTAGTGTCCTTGAGGCCACATGGCTGGGCGGTGGCGAAGCTGAGTGGAATGGTTTCTGACAGTTTCTAAGAGTCTGGGCTTATGGGAAGTGACCCTGGAACTGGGGACCACCCTCCAGTGTGGCAGCCGCCGGACAGTGGGGGGAGCCCGGGCTGCGCCTGTCTTAGGGAGACACTATCTGCTGGTGGCCAGTGACAAGGAAGCTCTGGACAAAATTATTATTATCATTATTCTTAACGAACTTGGACCTGAAGTAGCAAGCTCTTCAGCTTGGGGGCCCAGCTGCAGGACAAAGAAAATCCTTGGGGAAATAGGAACAGACCTCAAAGAAAGAGCAGCAAAGGAGCCGGGGAGGGCAGAGAGGAGAAATTCCCGAGCACGTGGCGCCTCCTCCCGCCCCGCTCGCTGCTAGTGGGCCCAGTCAGAGCCTTGAAAGGAGACGTGCTGACTAAGAAATGTCCAAACTTGTAAGAATGTCTATGAGTTTACTTGAGCCAAATTGACGGCAATTGCCAGGAGGCAGAACCTCAACAGGTGGAGAAAATGCAGCAGGCGGAGGGCGGCAGTTTTGCACCTTAGTTTGTGCACCGGGATCGGAGGCAAAGATGCACAAGGTTACGTCAGACCCACTGGGGACAGATTCGGGAGGCAGGAGGGGGCAGAGCGGGGGTGGAAGACATCTGGGGTTGGATAGAAAGTGGAACGATGGACACGCTCCCTCTGCACAGGTGGGCACAGCCAACGGCAGTGAGTGCCGAACACGGTCTCCTGCTCAGGTGGGAGCCTGTGCCCCGAGGGGTCTGGAAAGAGGAAATCTCCTTGACGCTCTCGTGTTACCGGGGAGGTGCGGAGATGTCACAGACAGGCCCGGTTAAGGTTCCTTATTCAAGGAACACACTGGGCTGGGACGAGACTGCCTGCCGAGACTCGCTTCTGTCCCACAGTGTAAATCCGAGGCTGTCCTACGTGGGGACTTTGTGTCTCTGAGCTTGCAAGGCTGCCCCGAGCTGGTCAGATTCGTGAGTGACGCGCCGTCTTCGGCAGATGCCAGAGCGATGGACTCTCCCGGCCGGCCAGCCTCGCCCCTACAAGGGGCGTCTGGGACGTCCAGGGACAGTGAGATGCCTCCTCCGCAGCTTCTTAGAAGCCGCCGGTCGCCTGCTCGGAGACCGCTTGTGTCGGGCCCAGAGGAGGAGGGTCTGCGAGGAGGGAGCCTTTCGTGCTGAGGAAAGAGCACCGGGGAGTTCGGGTTAAAGTTCAGCATCTGCCGTGGACAGCACGGTGTGGGCACTTACGTGTTCGGAGCCTCATCTGTGGAGTGAGGCGAACTGTGGTCACGCTGATGGTGCGGCGGTGTTCGGGGGGTGCGGGGGTGTCACACAGCTGCAGAGCCCCGCAGGTGCTGGCCCACAAGAGAGAGGGACCGGCATTCGGGTTGTGTGGCCTCCTGACTCATCCAGCTTCTTCTCGACAACAGTCAGACCTTCCGTCTGGGCCCCGGCCGGGTAGCTGTGGTGGCTGGAGCACCATCCTGCTACACCAAGGTCCTGGGTTTGATTCTTGGTCAGGGCACATATCAGAATCCACAACTGATATTTTTCTCTCCTCTCTCTCTCTCCCCCCCTCCCCTTCCCCATTTTCTGTCTCTGAAATCAGTAAAACGTATCCTTAGGTGAGGATTAGAAAAAAGAATCAACCAATGACTGCAAAAATAAGTGGAACGACAAATTGATATTCTCTCTGAAATCAATAAATAAAAAAATCGGCAAGCTTACGTTCGGGCGGGGTTGAGGGGGCGGCAGAATGAGAACTCCCTGGGTGGGGCTACACGTGTGCTTCTGAAATGATTATATCTCTCTTCCCATTAGCCGTCCGATTTCACATCACAAAGAATGGAAAACACCCTCTATTCGGTGGTGCAGCACTCCCAGAAGGTGAGTCTCCCCCTCCTGGGGTTCAGGGAGCAGGTGTCCACCGGGGGCGACTGTTTTGCGTGTGCAATGCAGGCGTGTGTTTGCAGAGTGTGCGAGCACTTCCGCGTGAGTCGTCTTCCCTTGAGTGCCTCCCAGTGCTGGTGTTCAAGGGCCACCCGGACAGCACCTTGGAGTTGTGGGTGGAGAAAAGCAGCAGCTCAGACTGGAGCAGAGCGGGCTGCAGGTGTTTCTGAGTTTCTGTGGGAGGCTGAGGGAGTCACACAGACAGGAAGCGCTTGTGCGGGGACCCGGGGAAGGCGCCCCTCCAGGCCTGGAGGGGGTCCCAGTGCACGACCTCTGGCGTGGAGCTGGGGGGCTGCGCGGGGTGCAAAGAGACATAACATCCACTTTCCGGGAACCAGACAGAGGCGCTGGCCGGCCCCGTCACACGGAGGCCTCCGGACGGGGTCCGCCTCCCGCCCTGATCCCAGATGGGCTTGCAGCGGTTCCGAGTGCCTGGAACCACAGAGGTGGGCACACGGCTGCCACTGTCCTCTGCTCCCCGCACGTGCCAGGGGTCGGGAAGAATAATGCTCCCATGGCTGGAGCCACGGTGCCCACGCGTGAGCTCAGCATGGCACCACCAGAGGCTGGGAGCCTGACACTGTGGAGCACTGAGGCCACGCGGGTCGGGGCCGTGTGTTTGTACCCAGCGCAGGAGAGAGCTCAGGGCGTGATTTCAGACTCTTCGTTCACTTGGATGAGAGATATTGACATTGTAGCGGCAGCACCTGCTCACAGAGATGGTCACAGGCTCTGCCTTCATGTTGTGAGAACTGTTCAGATGCCTGAAAGTGCTTCCAAACAGCACCGTGTGTACGTGTGTGTGTGTGTGCGCGTGCAGGTGAGTGTGGCCAGGGAGGGGGCGGGACTCTGATGGGGGTTCAGAAATGTCCAGTCGTAGGCCAGTGTGTGTACCCATCTCTGGAAACTGTACCCACCATCCTTCACTCCTGGGGTGGGAGGTGCTACCCACTTCTGGTGGGGACACTTCTGGGACTTTGCGGGCACTGAGTCTCTTTTGGGACCCGTCACACCAGTTGAGAACAGGACACTCGTTAAGCTGAACAAAGCCCTCTTCCCCTCTGCGTTTCAGTCTGGCTCCAAGAAGAGGAAGCAGAGCCCCTCCCTGACTTGCACCGTGTACGACGAGGTGAGACCGTGGAACTCCTGGGGGTGCGTCAGTGTCCACAGCTCGGCCAGGAGGCCGTGCACCTGTGTAAAGTCATGCACAGAGTCTCGGTGTCTCAGGATTTCAGGGACATTCTAATCTGACTTTTTATACTAGAGGTGGAGACACAGGTCCCAGGGCAGTGCCGGTCTGACATGAGGTCACATCACGTGTTGGAGTTTGGCTCTTGCTGGGTGGGGCGTCTGACTTTCAAATCAGGGCCGGCCCCAGGCTCACTTCCCAGCTGTGACTCACCCCAGATGCATCAACTTCCCCGTGTGTTTGTGGGCGTGGGGGTCAGGAAGGCAGAAGTGAGTCTGAGTGACTTTCTAAAGTCAGCGAGTAAGGGAGAGTCGCTGCAGGAGACCCGTGCCCTCGGCCACTGACGGGATGGAGTCTGCGTGGAAGTGCCCCTGAGCCTGGTGGCTGAACTGGTTTCCATCAGACCATTGAGGGAATGGGAAGGAGGGTCTCCACGGCCAGAGAAGGCCCCTGTGTCTGCGGTGGCCTGACAGTGTGGTTTCATGTGAACTACCTGACTTAACCCCCACAGAACGTGGGGAGTGGGGACAGTTACACTTTCCATTTGGACCCACAGAAAGTGAGGCATGAGAGTACCCCACTCACTCCCCATTTTGCCTGCGACTGTGCCTGAGCTTCCACCTGTGGCCCGATGACAGTGTCGCCTCGGGTCCCAAGGGAGGGGGTGGGCGGGAACCCGCTGGGCTTCTTGGCTTCAACTGTAGCCCCACCTTCAAGCCACTGGACAGTCCAGAGTTGCGGTGAGCACCGTGGGGCCCCAGGCAGCCCAGGCCGAGTCAGGCGGAAGCTTGGTACGGTGAGCAAAACAGGGCCCGGGAGCCAGAAGACTGGATTCAAGCCCCTGCTGCACTTCAAACAGTTACTCGTGCTTCCTTTTCTTACTCTGTGAAGTGGAGATAACAATTCATACCCACAGGATTGCTACATAGTCTCCGAGTGGGAGGGTCTGAACTTCTTTTCTTCTGCAGGTTGGAAAGATAGGAGCCAAAGCTCAGAGCCCTGTGTTAACCCGCAAGGAGCTGGAGAACTTCCGTGTGTACTGCTAGCGGCCACGGCTGTTGTCTACCAGCATCTGCTCTGGGAATCAGAGCAATGGACGGCACCACACGAGTCTTGGAAGGACAGTTCCTGGTCTGGGGATTTGTCCACGGACTGTACTTGGTTTTGAAAACGGTTTCTAACAGCCATGAGAAGAGCAAGGTTGTGAAGTAATGTCTTCCACCTGACAGATCACACGAGACAGGTGGGGCAGTTCACGCAGGAGCGCAAGCCGGTCCAAGTACTGAAAACCTGTCAAGTTCTGTGCGAACGCAGGGTGTTTTCTTAGCATCAAGATTCCTGCCTCCCGGTTTTCCAATCCGTTACTTGTGTCCCCTCCTGTCCCGTCTGGGGTGCCCACGTTTGTAGGCCCTGCCCTGGTCCAGGCCCTCCTTCCCGGGAGCGGGAACAGGCAAAGGCAGCTCAGAGGCGGAGCAGCGGCCTCCTCCGAGAGCGTGGACCCGCTGGCCGCAAGCCATGGGCAGGTTCCCCAAGGGGGCCAGGCCTGGGCTTCACTCAAGTCCAAGGACAAAACTGCCCACCCCCACATATGACAACTTTGCTTCTGGCCAGTTGTCCACGGGGGAGCGGAGGGGCAGGCGTGGGTGGTGCGGCACCAGCTGGTCTCTGAGTGGGCGGCCCCCCGGGGCCCACGTGCCCTGGTAACTGGCGGTGGCACCAGCGGCCCCCTCTGGGGATGGAACGGGTGATTTTTTCTTACCCTGCACTTTTTTTACTGCTGGATTTTTATAAAGCCGCATGTGTGTTTGTTACTCTTGATATATTTTTAAGTGCTTAAGGCATCTCTTCCATATAAACCTCCCATTTATTTACCCGGAAGCTTTCCTTGTTGTCAGGCCCTCTCCCCGAACCGTGGCCTCAGCCCAGGACCCCGGCAGTGAGTGGCATCACACCCCACAGAGACTTGTATTCATGGCACTGTGTCACACGGACACTTGTGTCACACGTGCCTTGTACATCACAGGCACTGCCCTGGGCTCTGTTCTTCCCATGGGAGCTCACAGCACCATCGTCTTGTCTTTTCTCCACAAAAGCAGCCGGATTTGCCTCTGCGCATATTGTAATGCGTTCCACCGGGTCCCCACCAAATGAATGCTGAGGGTATTCCCTGCCCTTTATTATTAAAAATGCTACATCAATCTTGTGTGCGTGAGTGAGAATACCTGTCGCGTTAATTCTAGCAGAGGTTCGTAAGACAGCATGAAGGTCCAGTTCTCCTTCCGCCGCCTTCGGCCCAGCGGTGGCGCTGCATCTGCGGTGAGGGGAAGTGTCACGGCCGTGAGAGCAGGCAAACGTAGCAAGTAGGCCGGCAGGGCCAGAGGTTCTGGCTATCGAGAGCTCTTTCCATAGGCTGAGGTTTTCCTGTGAGAGTATCTTCTCTGTGATTTTTTTGGATTGGTGTTTGCTCACTTTTTGAGACTTCAACATTATCTTAACTCTCGAAGGATGTCCAAACCTATAGAGAAATTTTAGAAAAAATTATGAAGAGACAAACAGAATACACCTGGAAGCAAGATTTCAACGGGCTGAGATAACATGTTTCTGAGAATAACATTTTCCAGCTTATTTCATGCCCTGCAAATGAAGAAAGGAATGTAAGAAATATTTACCTGAAGGAGGGAGAAGGCAAGAGGTGGACTGGATCACAGGATGCTAAGATGATGTGCTCTCCTGAGGGGGGTCACCTGCTGTAGGAGGGGCCTTGGCCTGGACTTTGAACTCTTGTTAGAATCAGTCTTCAGTTTAAATACCTGTAAAATGGAGTTAACAGACATTTCTCCTCATCTGTGAAATGGGAGCAATAGGTAAGATGAGGCATAAGGGAACTAAATTAGGAATTATGTCAAAATGAGCCCATACCAGGGGATCTGGAATTTCATTTTATTTTTAATTTAATTTAATTTTTTTAGAGAGGGAGAAAGGGAAGGAGAAAGAGAAGGAGAGGAACACAGTTGACTGCCTCGGGTTCATGGCCCGCAACCCAGGCAGGTGCCCTGACCGTAAACTGAACCAATGAGCCTGGACTTCTCAGTCCACTGAGCCAGGCCAACCAGGGCTGGAATCTCCTATGAACGCAGGAGAGCAGAGCCCCTTTGGCAGGAAAGTACTCTTTGCTGACATCTCGTGGGCATTTTTGGGATAACACAGTGGAAAAAGAGAAAGTTTTTTTTTTTTTTTTCCTGCTGCGATATCGTGGACATCTTGGGAATAACAGCAGAAAATGTTTTTCTCTGCGACTTAATCTAGTGTGCAACTTGCAACACCTGAATGGAACGCAACAGGAAAAGCTGTTCTCTGCTGCCATCTAGTGTCCATCTTGGGAATAACACTAGTGCAAGCAGTGCTCCTGAACCAGTGAACTCTATGTATTCCTGCCCATAAACTTATGTTTGTTGTGTACCACAAGAAGTAATATTTTTGCTACATTTAGAGTAAAAAGAGTTCAAATAAGAGGTTTTCAAATTACTTCTAGTCTTTCCTACTGGGTGGATATTAAACTGTGTCTCCAAATAGCTGTTATCTTTTCATTATTATCTTTTGAAATATTAAAAAAAGCACCATGTCAAAGCGTTTCTAATATTGTCCACTGCTGGCATTGATGGTCCTTTGTTCACACAGATGATGCAGATTCTTGTTAAGGTCAATCTTAGGTAGTTTATCTGTTTTGTTGCTATTCATTCTGTGTCTACATATAAAGGATGTTTATTTCTGCATGTTATCCCCCCCGCTGTAATAAATCCCTTTATTTGTAATAATTAAGTTGCTTTTCATGATTTATCAAGGTAAAAAAGCTATCGTACAATAACAATGCATTACTTTAACTATGTAGAAACATGTAAAATGGATAGAATGTAGAAGAAAACCTGAAGAAGTGTGAGGAGTTAGAAAATTTTCTTGGTTATAAGTCCATTAATGATTAAATAGAAGTAGCAACAGGATACTTATTTTTACGTGAGTTCGGGGCTTAGACCCCTGGTCTTGCAAAAACCGGAAGCATTTTGTAAGTGAAATTGTGCCCCCTCCAGGTTATCTAAGGAACTCGCGATAAGGGAAATGTCCACATTTCCAATAAGATTTTAGATAAATTTTGGAATCTAAAAAAGTAAGGGTGTTTACTTTTAGTGACGTTACAGAACAGTTGCGAAGGAGCGACGTGTGAGCAAAGACAAGAAAACCGTCACCCTCGGCCGCCTGCAGAGCTTCACCCCCGTGACTCAGTCTCCCCGGGTGTGCGGCCCCTCCCGCCCGCTGCGCCTGGGCAGGTGCCGGCTCGGCCTGGACGCTTCTCTCCTTCGCTGCTGTTTAGGTCCCAGCGTCCATGGTGCGTCTTCAGAGAGAGGTTTTTTCTGATCATTTTTTGCCTGAACGTTCTGGTTTTTTTTTCTTCCGTGTAAAGTAACGTATTTATTTCCTACCCTCGTGACCAGTGAGCCCCACGAAGGCACGTGCGTCCCTCTCGAGACCAGTGTGTCCTGCACTTCACTCGTCCTCACCGAGTGAACGCGCTCCTCTCCGCGTTCTCCGTGCGCGGCTGGGGCCGCACCGGCCGCCCGGACCCCGAGCCCTTCCCAGACCCAGCCCGCCCTCCTCGTCCCGCCGGTGCCCTCTCCTCCCTCCCGGCGGCCGCGGGACCCCGACGAGCCTGGGCGGAGGGGAGTCGGCGGGGCCGCGCGGGGGCGAAGGTCTCTGAGCAGAGAGCGGAGGGAGGGTGGCGATGCCCGTCCGGGAGCTTTGAGGGCTCCGGGGGCGGGAGCGACCGGGCCGCAGGCCGGTGCGGGACGGAGGGGCCGGGAGGGGTGATCGCTGGGCTGCGGTCCCGGAGCGTTGGAGTTTCGGGGTTCGGGGGGCGAAGCCTCG